GCTCTGCGAGGCGAGGAAGATCGAAGGCCCATGTGGCACCCGGACACTGATCTCAGCGTGTCCTGGCGGCGCGTGCCCTGTCGCACGGCGAGCAAAAGTGGTGCTTGTGTACAGTGCCACTGCTCGTGCGTATGATGGGCCTGAAACAGCGGCCTAAGCACACGTCCGTGCGGTGCCTCTTCGGTGTTTCACAACCGCGGTTGCAAAAGCCATGCACGCGCGAGTCGGCGTAGCGCGAGGGCACTGGCTGCTCAGGAACACCTTGCGGGAGCGACCATATGGTGCTGGTTTCGTTCGGGAGCACGTTGCATGGGTCGGGCTCGTCCGCCCAACGGGCCTCTGCGTCCACCTCGCGCTGTCTGCGAGCAGCTCGTCGGGCTTCACGCGCCACCTGGTCCTGGGGTGGCCAGCTGCTCTGCGGGGCGGGCGCGACGGGCGGGTCTTGTATCTGAGCTGGCTGCCCACCTGAAGTATCATCTGCGGCGGCTGCTGCATAGTCCGCTGCGTCCTGCTCACCCTGCTCCGTGTCGCCCACTGTGGCTGCTGACGAGGCAGCGGCTCCAGAGTCCCACGGCGGTGCGACAGGCGCGGTGCATAGAACGGACCTTTCCACGATGCGAGGCGGGCCCTGGTCGTCTTCATCGTCGTCGTCCCCCGGGTCCTGGTGCTCGGGGTCGTCCATAGGTCCTCCTCGGTCTCCGTGTCGAGGTCGATCAGCTGGCCGTCGCCTTCGCCGTCCCCCTCTGATCTGCTGAGCGGAGAGCCCGGGACGGGTGGCAGAGTGTGCTGCGGCGCGGGCGCGGCCTGCATGTGGAACTCCAGGTCGGGCGCTATCATGTCCAGGTAGTCCGTGTAGCCCGTGGCGGAGCGAGGCGTCGCCGTGTGGACCTGTGGCTCCTCCTTCGGTGTCTCCGTCGGGTAAACTATCAAATCCACGTCGGCCGGCACCGAGTCGACGAAAGGCTCCGTGAAGACAGCCGCCAAGGGATCGACTTGTTGTATGGCCGGCTTTGCCTGCGTGGCGGCGCGCGGCGGCGCTGTCTTCGGAGGAGGATGTGGCGGGTCCTCCTTTGGCACCGGGCTGGCCTGCCCACCACTCGTAGACGAGGCTGCTGGTCGACTCGGCGGAGGAGGCGACGCGGAAGCAGGCTGGTCCCCACTCGAAGAGGAAGCACCTGGTCGTGTAGCCGGCGGCGGCGACGTGGTACTCGACTTCGGTGTTGTAGTGGGCGCTGCGGCGCCTTTGCCATCTCCTTTGGCCGCCGTCTTGCTTGTGACCGCCGGCGGTTGCATCATGACACCCTGCGCGGTCATGTGCGCCTTGGCAAAGTTGAGCGCGGAGTCCCTCGCCGCGATGCGTTGGCGGTAGTGGCCGTCCATCGCCAGCAAGGCATCGTGGCCGATGCCCAACATGCGTCTGCACTGTGCGGCCCCCGACGCTCTCATCACCACGCGGATGTCATCGTCCGTGAGCTCCTCCAGGTTGCGAAAGACTTCGCTGGCTTTCTTGAAAAGCTCCAGCTTCTGCGTCGCGGAGGAGGGGAAGACGGACCCAGCGGCATCGGCCATGGCGTGGCGAAGCGAAGCGGCTAATCTGAAAATCTCTGTACTCTCGAGCGATCAGCAGCTGCGGAGTCCTTGCTGCTGACNNCGTGCAACAAGTTGCACTACACAACATCTCTCCTGGCATGTGTCATTCAAACGCAAACGATACCGCTTTAAAAGCTATTGCTTCAACTTGTAGCCGGTACCACCAGAATGCCCAGCACTATGATGCTTCAGGATTACGACCTAGGGCTGCCACCAGCTGCCACACAGTTTCAAAGCTCCTAACAACATAACATCACTTGGGCCCAGTATGGGGCTGTATGGGCTCCTGGCAAGGTTCATGAGCCCACCAGTGCACGGAAGGAGGCAGGAATTTGTTGGGGGTTTTAGCAGAACTAGAAACCCCAACCCGATCCCAACAAAACCCCAATCCAAACACAACCCCAACAAAATCCCAACTAAATCCTACTTTTCGAACAAGGCGGGATACTTTTTCCGTATATAAGGAAGGCATTTCGTGCTGTGCTTGAGCAAAAGCTTGGCACACTTCGACCATTCGCACGTGATTTTTCTTTCGAAAACGATCAGCTTTCTGCTCAGGCTTCTTGTCTGGCTTCTGCAGTTGATGTTCCGCAAAAACGCGAGTCAAAGCAGTAATTACGACTTAAAGCAGTATCCTTCGAGGACTCAAGAATGGCAGGGGGCACTCGGCGCATTACCTTGGCAAGCGTGAACTCGATGTCTATTGCCGTGACCTTCCACAGGGTGTCGTGGAAGAGCGGCATGGTGTCCTTGCACACAACGAGCGAGAGAGAAAGAGTGAGTGACGGTGAGAGTGACAGTGCGTCTGACAGTGAGAGTACGCCAGACAGAAAGAGAGAGAGAGAGACAGAGAGACACAGAGAATCAGAATGAGAATCAGAAGCAGAATCAGAACCAAAAAACACAAGCAAAAGGATATTGAGAATGCGAAAAGGAATGAAGAGGAAAAGGAGAATGCGAAGGAACACGAGATTGACAAAAAGATAGACAAAACAGAGATACACAGACACAGAGAGAGAGAGA